GCCCGTAGTGAAGAAAAAGGTTATGATTGTCCATGAAACTTCGAACCAGAGCAGTTAGTGTTGTCAACAGTGAGAAAAGGCTATAATTTCTCAAACTTAAGGACTTTGAGAGAAAAAAATCTCATTTTACCGATGAAAAATAGTCTCTGAGGTCGCTTCTATGCATAAGCATAAGAAGGCGACCAAATCAGAGACTTAAGGACTCTGAGAGAAAAAATCTCATTTTATCAGTGAAAAACTAGTCTCTGATTTGGTCGCCTTCTTATGCATAAGCTCAGCTGTAAGGGTATTTTAAGAAGTGACCCAACATGAGCTGTACTGAGCCGACTTTTTTCAAAAACTATTCACTAAGGATCGTGGAAACGTTAAATTAAACTGTAATTAGTTGTAAATTTTCTAGAAGAAAAGAGAAAAGTGTCAATCTGCATATTTCTTTTTTCGAATATTTCATTTTTGGTTCTTCCTCCTCTCTGCCCTTTGACTCACACAACAGATATCGCCATTAAAAGGTAATTTTGTTTTGACGGTCACGAGTATAATACTCGCAAAGAATCAAATAAATCTAGTCAATCTGGCCGAAAACACCATCAAAATCTGTAATAACTCACTTCTGTTGCGGGAACAGCCCACAGCCGACTGGTACCATAAGACCGTATCTAAAAACCTCAATTCACTCAAGTTGACAAGAAATAGGCTGTTGTTGTACTCACAAGACGAATGTGAGGACTAGTTGGGTGGGAATGTTCAGTTTGTTAAAGTTCTTTTGAAAATATGCCAGTTTACACAAGCGTTCCACAATGACTGGAGTTAGAACTGAAATTGTAGGTGAATTACAATAAGAGGGTTGGATTTTTTAAACAAAAATGGTAAGGTTACTTACTCATGCATGGAGCAACAATGATATTTCTACATAGCACTACAAGAGAGATTGCCTTTGCCGCAGCTAATCGAGACGTTCCTACAATATTTCCATCCGAATCTGATACTTTCATGCCATTTTTGAGTTCACTGAAAGGGAGAAGTTAAACCTTGAAAATTTAATACATTTCTGCTAAGTATTTACGCTTAATACATAAAAGGTGAGATATTCATGAAACTGGTAGGAACATTTGGGTTTTATGCAAGATATAATAAAAACTAGCCTCGCTTAACTTGCTTAAATATCAAAATGTTTTCCAAGATTGCTTCGGAACAAAAAATTTCCACTAAGTTATATCTCAGGTTGCTTCTACAGGAAAACTTGAACTACACGCCTTACCTTGTT